CAAAGAGGGGCATATATTCATTAAACATTTTTAATGAATATATGCCCCTCTTTGGTTCGAATAAAAATTATTTTTTTAGTAGATTTCGATGAAAATTGATGAAATATGTAGTTGAAAAATTGATAAAGTTATGAATACCAAAAAATGTGATTGAAAACAAATTTTAGAAAAAAATGATATTTCAGAAATGGGAGTCAAACAGATGCATACTAAGAAGTATAGTATTTTGATTAATTAGTGATTGAGAAAATAGTCATGCCATCATTTCCAGCATACAAATTAGAGCTTGAAGGGATTTTTGAAATGAAAAATGATATTTTTGGGAATATGTGCTTAAAATATAGAGAATAGTTATGGATCTCAAGAAACGTGTGGTTAAAAATAATTTTGGAGAAAATAATTTTTAAAAATCTCTTCCAAACAAGCCTTAGTTAACTTGGTAACTTTTGGAAAATGGGACGACGTACTTGAAATAAAATAAAAATGAAAGTTAGATGATTAATGTGAGTAAAGAAAAGTTTAATAATTAAAATTTAAAAACACTACTGGTTCGATGACTAATGGAGTTTTTAAATTTCAAGTCAGATTGTTTTCTGTAAATTAACTAAAACTGAAGTTCTTTCAACATATTCATTGACCATTTGGTTGTTGGATAAATTGTCCATAAATTATATTCCTTTAACCAAAAACAAGTTCATGAAAATACGGATATGGTAACGGTTTATCGAAACCATAGTAAGTGCATACAAGTTGAGCAAAAAAATGACTTACTGACACGTAGAAATAATAATTTGGAGGAGATGAAAAGAATTGAGGTATGCGAATGCAAATCTCCTTAAGATAATTTTGCCCAGTTCAAGGGTGCTAACATGATGAAATTGACATCTATTGGACGTTTATCTCCCAAGATACAACGTTTTTTCCAAAATTAATATAATACGATATTAATTTTACGGATGAATCAATGCATGACTGTACTCTTCTAGAATGCAAGATATCGAACACAAAACTCAAAAATAATTTGAAAAAATTTGAACGGAATTTAAAGAATGAAAGAATTAGAAATCAATTATATGAAATTGAAGTAAGAAAAAATGGAACTAAATGTCTCTATTTATAGTTTTTCAAATGGTATTTTAAATGGTTGTATCTTTTAATATAGACCATACATTTTCACATTAAATGATGTAGTATATATCATATCAAATGGTCATGCCTTTTAACCATGCACATTTTATATAGTCACATCCATTCTAAACAACATGACTTTTTGTATGCATTTTTTTGCGGATAAAGAGGCACATATTGAAGGCATATTTCAATTCACTATAAATAAT